GAAATGATGCATACCGTCGTGCTTATAAAAATGCCATCAAGATGGCGCAAAATATATTACATCAGAAGGTAGGTAAATCATACGAAACATTTCATGGTAATCAGCTGAGTTACGAAGACTTTATAATAAATAATCCTGTAGACAAATAATGGGAAAAGTGTAGGATGTGCGAAATTATCTACTAAAAACAACATTTCAATAAATGCCGAGACAGAAAAAATTATACGCTCTGATTTTTGCAAAACACTTAAAACCACTTATTTCTGTTATTGTTATCGAAAAATATTATACTCTTTCATAAATTAGTATACAAAGGACATATTCCGGAAAAAATTGGTGTACTGAAAACTATGAAATAATAACCGAACAGCCTACTATATTATGTATATCAGAAACTGATCAATTGGCGATTGACTTTATGCATGAAGTACGCACGCTTTGAATTATAATCTCATCGGTAGTTGTACAATGCTAATTATTTTCATATGCGAAAACATGTTCAAATCGGTGGTTTAAATGCCTTTGCGAAGCAAATGAAAATGTTTTGCATCTGATGAGTCATGGACTCGAAGCGGAGCTTCCTCCCAACTACTCAACTGTGATGTCGGAGACTCCAAGCTTTGCCCGCTCTTATTTTTCATATGGAATGTTAGATGGGTATTTTCGACTTTTAACTGTTTGAATTCATTGATAAGCTGTGTAGCGCTGTTACGGTTCCGTTAGATATCTGTATTGAGCCCGTTTCAGATCACGATCCCATCTTTTTCTTTCCTAATCAAAAGTCTTTGCTTGACCAGAGTACATATCGTGTATAGTGAGTAATAAAATAATTTTGTATTACAAAGACTAGTAATATACAATAGTACGGATACTCCTGATAGATATAGGGTGCTACCTTCCCTATCAGATTTGGCAATCGAAGTTACTAAAATTAGCAATCACTGTAGGCATACTCGGCAATTTGTAATCCTTAGCTGAGATAATTGCCTCTTTCGACTCGAGATTTTTGGAGGGGAAATCATGTAGACCATATTTTATAGACGGCATCACAATCTGATTGTAAATCTGCCATCAGTACATATAAATACGACAATGGGGTGGCAATAGACCATACCTATCAATATGTTATTATCTTTCGTCTGCTCTAAAGTATTACTTGCGCGAACAGTTTACTACCGGCTGGCCTACACATGTTTGTAACTGGCGTTATCGGTATGGCATATCTCTGTTTTTGTTTTTATTTTTATTTTTATTTTTATTTTATTTTTTGCAAAGTCTTCTGTGATGCTACGCTATAACGGTGACGTATTCTCTCTTAAATTTCTGCATTACTCCGACGGTACAAGCAGTGATACGGCAGTGATACAAGCAGCATCGCTGTAAAAATAATAGTTAGATAATTGGTAATAGCCGCTAAAAATAGATCAATTAGTCCGCTCGAAAGATGTAGATTTCTGTCAATAAGTGCATGTTTAGAATGTTCTAATTACTCTCGATTCCTTTATTATTATTGTAATTAAATGAGTAGTTGGTAACTTATCGGTATAGCCGAGAAACCGCTGATCCCTATATCGATGAAGAATAATCGCGATTATGCGAGTGGCAAATTACGATAATTAATTGTTATGTAGATTATTATAATTAAAATACTATTGTAGACTCCCATCTTAAGAGCCGACAGGGTTACTCGAGTATAATTAATATATCCAGGATTAGCGTCACTCTACTTTTCGTAAGTGCAAAGCCTTACATATTAGGCAATCATCGAACGTCTACGAATCTGATAGGCGGCAATGGTGAGACCACAATATCGATAAACTAAATTTGGACTTTAGTGCTAATATATATATATATATAAACTTGATCCACACACAGGAACAGAACTAAGTTCAGAAACAGCCTTTACGTGTGCCAAAGAGTGGGTATAATATACGATGTTATCTGGGTCATTATATTTGACAAAGGTTACTAATTTATGCAATATCTTCAGAATGGCCGGCTTTCCCACTATAAACAAAGCAGTCAAAACCATCTTTGCACACGCGTCCGACCAAGAATGTGCTACTACGAAAGACAACTAGAAAGTTTGACCCAGTTCTCATAATCACCCCAAATACGACTTGGATTGGTCAGCACGGCTTACCTGCATATGAAGCTGTTATGGACGCTTTTGCAACAAACGGTCTTTCACATGGGCGCAGAGATGAAAATTCACGTGCAATCTTCTACTTTATCTCTGTCACTGAACTATATACTGTGCAGGGGAGCTTTCCCAAACGCTTTTTTTGTTCCTACTAGTCTCCAAGCCCAACTTCCCAATGTTCAATCATCTCCTATTGGAATGGCTTGGATTCTGACAACTGTGGGAAAACGCAAAAGCGATTTTGGACAAGACGAACGGTTTTTTCATGTTGTATGAGGTTAAAAATCCACAACTCGTATATCGCGTATTCGCCATGTTCATATTCTATTCTTTGCTTTTGCTTCTGCTTTATGTTTACAACAATTGACACAAGTTGAATAAATTCGAAGGAAAAAGGTGCTACGATCATATAACGTCATAATGCTTGCCACCTGATGTCCAAATCTAGTCTTAAACTATTACCGCCTAACCAAACGTATTGAGATTCGAGCAGCACCTAAATATGAGCAGGATGAAAGTAAAGATAAGTTAGAGACTTACCATACAGTCGGTATAGCCGACTGATGAATCGGGCGGCCACATTACATACCTCTAGTTATATCTATAAAATCGCAAAAAAAAATCACAATCGACTCTCACTAAATGCACGCTCTCGCTTTATTTAGAGTTTCATGCAAGGCCATATTCTAATTCAAGGATCGGACAGAACATAAGCATACCAATATTCTAGAGAAAGGAAGGTTAATGCAATGCAAAATCAAGTATAGACCGGTGGAATTGTTGATTTCGCAGATATCGCAAGAATGTGCCAGTCTCTATAAGCTGAAAACATGGGTATAAACACTTTGCAATGAGTCGAGTATTATGTTCCCCGCCGGACGTGTTGAAATAGATATGAAATTTGTGTATTTTCTAAGCGACATTGACAAATTTCAAACTTATCAAGCATCAATAAAAACGCTCCATGATAAACTACTGCTTTTATTGTTGTATGCATAGAAATTACAAATGTTAAAACCTAATACTTGGTGTTCCCACCTTTAGCCTTAATAACAGCATCTATTATGCGGTAAGCTTATAATTAAATTTTGCAACATCTCATTATTCCATTCCTCTTGAATCGCGGTTATTAAATCCTGCTTCGTCTGAGGCAGAGGTTTTCGTTTACGTACCTGACAGTCTAAATGATTCCAAAGATTCTCGATTGGGACTTTGCGCAACCCAATCTAAAATTCGATTGACATCCACCAAGTGCTATATGAAGACGTATACTGAAAGACTGAATCAGATAATTCCTCACCCAGGAGAGCGAGCCAAACCTATCCTCTCGTACTATGCATTGTGGAAACCCTCTATCCCGGTCAGTAATCGTCCGGGACGTTTCTTGGGTGTGGCAGAGTGTGTTTTCTTATATCGACTAATTTCCCGTGCTAGTGGGAATGTTCAGTTGAGTAGCGATAACGTTTTGCTTCACCCTATTCAGGTATGCGTTCGCGCTGTTCAGTTGTGATGTTAACTAAAGAAATTTCATCTATCGTGGCACAGTATGCATGGTGTAAAAAAACCTCTTCATTTGATCCACGTGACAAAAATCCGGTGGGGCAGTGTATTATCTCTTACTTTTTTTTTAAAGTTAAATTTGGATAACCAACATAATAATTAAATAAAGGCTAGCTTGTAAGAGAAAATTCATTTCTTTTTTCTCCTTTGTACGCCTTCGGTTTTAAATAGCTTAATGAAATCAATTTGTCAAAGACCCTATACAACCAGTTTGCTATTTTAAATTACTTTTGTATTTTGTTTGCCAACAACGCATTCATTCATTCGGCCAGTAAATCGGTCACAAGTCCATATAAAGATCATAATAACTCAACAGAGCCGATCTTGCAGTTGTCAAGGACGGCACTCGATACAGACCGCATGTTGATAGTATGCATGTGAGTTCCGATTCCGTTAATAGAAGTTTAGAATAACTGTTCCGAATAGACAGATATTAATAACACTTTACCAATCAAACACCTGTTAAAGACTATCTTACCGAATCAAGAATTAATACACTTATTCAAATAGAAACATTCCCAGGCGATCTTTGCATGTCAATCAAAGCTTATGGTAACAATAGGAATAGTAGTTTTTGCCTTAGGATTATCGACACCTTTTACTAGCCGAAATGTTTATCTTGAACCTTGCAATTATTTGCACTTTTCTTTACAATAAGGGCATGCATGTTGACAATTGACCGTCTATGACAAGAATACTTTTTATGGTTTCCCCAATCGATTATTTGACTTTTGTGTACGTGAGAAGAAAGTTTATTCAAATGTTACACGAACATCACGTGTAACAAATTCCGGACGAGGTTTTCTGAATTGGGCTAGACAGTTTATCTTCCCAATCGGGAGTTTCCGAAGAATCGAGCAGGTCAGAACAAACTATGCACAGGCAGAAAATCGATAAAACTAGCCGTTCTGCTACGTACAAACACCCTTACGCGAATCGAGCGATTTACAGAAAAAAATATCGTAGAAAAATGTTGCGCTATTCGAGCCCTCTTATACAAGTTGTTCTTGTTGGTATGTCACGTGTACAATTTGGAAATTTTCGCTCTGAAAGAAAGAAATAGATGTATTAAGACATAATGATTTTGTATTAGGTATCATATGTTTCTTGACATCGGGAATGTTTAACGCGTTAAATGGTAATGTAACTTTTTTTTTTTTTTGAAAATGTACATACTTTCTAATCATTCACTTTACTCACCAAAACGCTATTGCTCAATTCACGCATCATTTTTAATTTTTTGACTTTGATGATATGCCTATCCCTCTCGTCTGTCTCGGTCAATCGCTGTAAAGGCATGGGCGGCGGTGGTCAAGTGGATACGACTGTCAGCTCAAATGCCAACACTGCATTATATACAACCTTCGCCATCGGTGGCCTTATCGCGGGTGGTCTGGTAAATGTAATTGGTCCAAAAATGGCATTGGCAATCGGCGGAACTGGATATGTGTTGTATTCGGGATCGTTGTTGGCATATAACCACGATGCAAACAGGCCGTTTGTTATAGTTGCCGGTGGACTTTTGGGATGCTGTACGTGTTTTTTTCTATGTGTGTGAGGGGATGACCAGGGATAGCTTTGATGATGCTTTGCCACGAAAACATGTGTACTAATCCCATATGCTGTCTATGCTGAAAAATAAATCAACAGGCGCTGCATTACTGTGGACGGGCCAAGGAGCGATAATGTTGTCTTATCCGCTGGAATCAAACAAAGGGACATACATTAGTATTTTCTGGGCCATTTTCAATTTAGGTAAAACGAGATCTCTAATAGTCTGCAATCCATTCTCTTGTTTAACATGTCTCGCGCGCTTGTCATTACACGTACCCCGTATTGATAAACGTGCTCCTTTTTCCCCCAACCCACTTCACACACACACACTCACACTCACACACACTCGTTCAATTCACACCCATACCTTCACAGGCGGTGTAATTGGTAGTATTATTCCATTAGCTCTGAACTGGAATTCACCATCCGGCACCGTCAATGACGGGACCTACATAGGCTTCATGATCGCAATGGCATGTGGAGTACTTGTCGCCTTGCTTCTACTGCCGCCCTCAAAGGTGTATCACGACGATGGATCTCCAGTAGCCCTTCAAAGGTACCCAGACTGGAAAGAGGAAACGATAGGAGTTCTGAAACTATTCACGGATTGGAGAATGTTGTGCCTGACACCCATGTTTTTAGCTAGCAACTGGTACTACGCTTACCAGGTAAGAATTAAGGGTTTGATACTCTGGGCAGTCCAGTCCTGTTTCTCTTCTTTCCTCTGCACCCTTAATAACTCGGTAACCGCCTTAAATCCCGATTAAAAGTTCGACGCGGTAAATGCCTTTTACTTTAACATCCGAACAAGAGCCTTCAACAACTTGTGGTATTGGTTCGCGCAGATCGTCGGTGCATTACTTTTTGGTAAACTTCTCGATCTGGCCACCCTTAATCGGCGCACTCGCGGATTTTATGGTTTCGTTGTACTCTCTGTAATAATAACCGCAACTTGGATCTGCGGGCTGTTTTTCCAACTCTCGTTCAAACGATATCCGGCACTTGCAGAAAGCGAGAAAATGGATCTTTTCGATAAAGGCTATGGATCAAAGTTGACTTTGTATCTTGCGTACGGGTTGAGTGATGCTATGTTCCAGGTATTTGGAATGGGGGAGATGAGATGTTTGGTGTTTTTGGTAGAGGCGCATAATTAATCTTTTGATGATCTGGGTAGTGTTATGCATATTGGCTCATGGGAGCGTTGACGAATGAAACGGCCCTTTTATCACGATATACAGGGTATGATCACATTCTCTAACAAATATTCTTGATATTGCTTCATAAAACTTCATAAAACTCACCCATGTTCCATCCGTTCACTGCATTCAAAAGTTTCTACAAGGGAGTCCAATCAGCTGGTGGTGCTATCTCTTGGCGTATCGATGCGGTTAATACAAATTTCCTTGCCGAAATGATCATCTCTTGGGCAATGATCACGATTGCTTTCCCTGGTATGCTGTACGTCGTACTAAGGATAAAAGATACTAATTACGTTGCGGATCGATCGCCAAAGGAAGAGAAGGCGGTGACTGTAGCAGAGAAGCAAACCGCATGAAGAAGACAGGTATACGCGCGGAGGGGGCGAAAGAAGCAAAAATGAGTCGTGGACATTAATGTTATTATATGAACAGCTATGGGAATGATAAAAAGAGATAGAATTGCACACCATTCTATGTAGGCACGCTTATTGAGAGTCTCTCAAGAGCAAGAGATACACTGTAATCTTACATCATTACTTTTTATTAAAGGTACAAGAATGGTCGCATCCAAGGACTACCCTGGTTATGCGACCCTGGATAAACGAATTCTTGTGTAATGATCGAAATGGGCTTATAAGGAAATTTCTATTTTTAGTTGCCTTTAAGGAAAGAAAGAGTTTCGTGTTGTACTCATGCATTTCGGCAATTGCCCAATTAGTTGATGTGAATAATTGGAAAAACCATCAATTGTGTGAATTGAGAAGTGTGTTATTATTATCCAGTATACTGGCCCAGCGTTAAGAAGATTCATGGGTCCCCCTTTATTCTTATGTCTTTGTTATTGTAGCTAATTTATTACTAAAGATTCTGTAACAAAGAATTTAGCTGTGCTCTTTATTTTCGGACATCTAAAATAAGCGAATAAATTCAGTATCCATCTGGTTACACAATTCGGGGATTGTATGTCGAGTTTTAACCATGTAAAGTAGTTTATTCTTTTTGGTTGGTTCAACAAACAGCGAGGCCTTCTGACAATACCAAATTTTGCGCAATTGCATAAACTGTCTTCAAACTGTATCACAAGAACCCACATAGTTGTGTAACTTCCTTGCCAAATATACCTACATTCTTTTCCAGCAAACAATACAGAAAGTAGAAAGGAACAAACCCTTCTGTAACAATTATGGAGAAGTATAATAGAATAAACTACAAACGTTACATAAAGAACCAAGCCTACATATGAATAAATATACGTTGGCGTATGGCAGTGCAGGTAATACACTCTAGCATTTACGAACATCCCTAGACGCTATAATCTCACTTTCACTTTCCCGACCTCGACTCGCAACATAGAAGGGGAGCTGGAATTCTCTCACCTTTTGCGTACACATTTGAGCCGAGCAGACTTGTGCCTAGTTCATTCTTATATAACATAAAAAAATGAGGATTCAAGGCTGGCTCCTTTATACTATAGTAGCTATAATATTTATATCACAGTCTGCGTATGCGGGTGAGTACACATCAATTCATCATATAATCAACCCGATTGACGAACGATATATTTAATTGAATCTCCCCAAAAACTATTTTTACATTACAGCCAAATACGTCCGCAATAAAGCCTTCCAGACCTGCATAGGTCTTCCTTCACCTGCTACCTCCTCCTCCTGCTCTCCTGTTTCCACGACACTCTGTCCCACCGACCGCTTCTCCAACGTTTCCTCGTCTTCCTCTATACAATGGCATACCGTCGTAACATCTTCGCCATCGTCTACCAATTCCTCGCAATTTCGAATAACGTCAACCGCTGCGTACTCGCAAACCAAGCTCTGCCTTACTTCGACAGCAAATGGTGTACAGGCGTGTACATGTGACGAGTCCAACAGCGCGCAAATATGGACTGGAAACGGTGGTCAAGTAAAAACCCAAAGCGGAAGCTGTTTGGTCGGGATGGCTACGGGAAATAATGCAGGAGGAAGTGTGGGCGTAGGAGTTGGATTGTGTGGAGGTGAGAGTGCCCAGTGGGATATATATCACTCCGCTCCTGGTAAGGATTCGTTAGATTGCGTGTGGTATGGGCCAGACTATTAGATTACTTCTAAGTCATGGCAGTATTACCAATGTGTTCCCTTGTCTTACCGATATATACTTACCAAGTATCCCACCTCATTAGGCTCAGTCACTCTCTATTCAGCTTCATACTTTTTCTCCGAGCCGATGAATCTTTTACAATCCACATACACCTCTCAATCTCTCCCCTCATCGATATTCTCTGTACCATTTTCACTCGAAATTCCCCCCGGCTTTGAATTCGTTGTACTCCCCGGTAACAATGCATCAACCGTTTTTTCGTCGGATACACCGCAAGTCGATCCTATCAGCGATTTGACAACAACGTTTCAAGTTAGACTGAAAGATGGGGTGATCGCATACGAACAGCCTGCCTATTTTGGCGTCAGTTGGTTTTTGTCGTCGGGATTTGGAAACGGACCAAACAATACCATTTATCAGAACGTGACAACAAGCTTTGTTGGAACCACCGGAAACACTTTTAGCTTTAGCTTTGGTGTCGGCTCTGTTATGGTCAAGGATGGATTTAAAGCCGTAATGTGGGATACAAAATCGAAAAATGGCGATAATTTTGGACTGTTCGAAACCGTTGCTAATTTCGAGGGAGTGATGGTTGCTACCGCGCGCAAGGATGTTCAAAATGCTGATATTTCTGCTGGTAGGTTTTGTTCGTTCAGATTAGAATATACGAGTGAAACTCTTAATGGAAAATAGAAAGATTACTTTGTCTTGTTACTCAATATTCTAACAATGATAATCCTTTACCCTCAATAGCTGATTGCACGCCTGAATGTGCCTCGGGTGGGTTTTGCTCGGGAAAGAACGTGTGTACATGTTCACCTGGCTTCACAGGCGCTTTATGCGATCAATGTCTTCCTGGGTTTTGGGGACCAACCTGTCAACGTAAGTAATACGTATAAAAGCATATTTCCGAACTTTAATCTATAACATATGCATGTGTCACGTATTCATAGAGTTTGCTTTTTATCGATGATTGTTCAACCATCCTAATACATCTTTTCTTCATAAAAAAAAGCCTGTTCCCAAAATTGTCCAAACACTCAGAACCAAACCTGTTCCGATGGATTAAATGGTACGGGCGAATGTAAGTGTCTCCCAAACCTTGCTGGACCCAGCTGCACTACTTGCGCGCCTGGTTTTTTTGGCCCGGGTTGCAAGCCTTGCAACTGCAACAACGGCACATGCGACTCAAATGGCAACTGTTCTTGTCTTGCTGGTTGGATTACACCACAAAATTCGACCGCTCAATGCTCTACATGTAAACCGGGATATTTTCTCTTTGGGGATTCTTGTAAATCGTGTGCACCCGGTTGTCAACAATGCGATTCTAATGGAAATTGCGTCAAATGTTTTGACGGATTGGGTGTTTCGCCGGATAATCCTCAAAAGTGCATAGTAGTAAGCGGGTCATCATGCCCGGACGGACAATTTTTCGATGGAACTCAATGTCAGCCATGCGACCCAAGTTGTCAAACATGCCGCGGGCCTGGTCCGGGCAGTTGTTTGGCATGTCAAGCGGGGTCATTGTATCTGGAAAGTATATGTCAGCAAGTGAATCAGATTAGTGGAACATGCAATCAGTCAGCTACTACGGTTGCGAGTAACTGGGTTGCAAATCTAGCTGATGGAGTTTGTGATCGTAAGTGTTTTCAATATAGAAAGATATTTCTGATGATCGCAGTTGAATAAGACACCAACAGGGATATTAACCGTTTTGTTCTTTCGTTTTTATAGCCTGTCCAAGCAGTTGTTTAGCATGTTCTATCCCCAACTTGACCACTAATAGTACCGCTAGTCTCACCTGCACAAAATGCATGACTGGCTTTGTCCTGGATGGGATAAAGTGTATCAAAACATGTTCCCAGGGCAAGTTTGTTAATCCGGCAGATAACATGACTTGTATTCGTAAGCATTTATTTCATTAGCATTCGAACCTTGGTTGCGTACCGCCTTTAATTCCTCCTATTAATATTGCTTTTTACCACACTTTGCCTTTTCCCGAAAATTAAAGCATGCGATTCATCTTGTTCGACGTGCAAAGGCTCCGCACCAAATCAATGCCTCACTTGTACGAACCCGTCCCAGTTCGCCTTCAACGGCACCTGCTCTGCAACGCCCTGCCCAACAGGTTTTGTGTCGGTTAACACGGCTTGCACCAAATGTCATCCTGACTGTGCGGAATGCAGTGGACCCGGCGTTAACCAGTGTACTAAATGTCCCGCTGATCGTCCGATAATGACAAAAGACAACCAATGCGTAGAAGTGTGTCCGATGGGGATGTATGCCGATGCCAATGCAAAGTGTCAGGCATGCGATGGTAGTTGTACGTCTTGTGTTGGACCTCGCGATGACCAATGCTTGGGGTGTTCTAATAAAGATAAGGTTCTTATTGGAGGATCGTGTAGTGGGACATGTCCGAGTGGATCAACTTTCCTTCAAAGCGAACGTCTATGTGGAACAGCTGATGGTCTAGCATCACCAATTCCGCCAGCTCTCATATCCTCTAAACCTCTCCCGTGGTGGGCTGTTCTTTTGATTGTACTCGCTGCCCTGATATTTATTGGGCTCATCACCTATCTCATACGCTACTATGCTCTCAAACGACGGCAAAAGAAGATCGAAGAGTTTGGCGATCAAATCGACGAACAAGCTGTTACCGAAAATCTGCAACAGCTACAAGCCGGATACGAAAGTACTCCCACGAGAATTCCCAGTAGCGCGTTATCCGAACCACAAACATCATATCAACCTTTTGCGAATAATTTGCTCAAGCAAAAAGAAAGCGAAAAAGAGTTAGACAAGGAATCGTACCCACCCGCATATGATCCGCGCGATGGAGAAGAATATTGGAAGAAATTGCAGAGGCAAAATTCCAAGTTATCGAGAAAAGCGTCGATATTGAGTAGATTTGGGGAATCCAGGAAAAAGGACGATTGGGAAGGGTTTGAAGAGGTGACGCTTGGCGATAAAGGTGCTGTTCGTAGCGGGGCTAGCAGTAATGGGAAAGGCAAGGCGCGTGGTGATAAAAAATCTGGGAGGATTAGCATTTGGGGGGAAAACTGGATATAGCAATAGATGTAAATTATGGAATTAATTTCAGCACTATAATGGACAATGACTCTTCTTTATAATAATAAACTCATTCACTTTGTTAATATTATTTAAACAGCTTAAACTGGGCTTTAGCGAGCACCTCGTTGTGAATAAAAGTTCCTCGCGATAGTTAATATTATTTAATAAGTCTGTCCTGTTGACCGTGATGTGAATAAAACTAAATTGATTATCTAGATTTCTGTTTTCCTACTCTTGTTATCGAACTTTGGATGCAGAGTTCAAAGTTATCGACTTTATCAGCTGCAACATGGGTGTTATTTTTCATCACATTGACTTAACGCTTTAGTATTGACAGATACTGTATTTAAAGAGGCGAGCTAATTGGTTTTTTTATCATTATTATTTAAATTCGGTGGAAGTGCACTTTGTTCCTGTGGTACATTATAATTATCCCTATTTTTTTTTGGCTAGTTTTTTTTTATTACATTAAGAAGTTGGATGTTGAATTATTACTTTGCCGAGCTACGTTTCGAGCCACTGCGCTAGCTCCTCTATTAATAATATTATAAGAGCATGGTGGACAATACCATATTTGGTAATGTACTACTGTGGCGCGAATTCAATTCAAAGAAAATCTTTTTATACAGTTTAGACTATCCACATTCTCTGACTGGAAAAGTAATAATGGTGCTCATTCATAACTTATGGACTTGTTAATTTTAATTTTCACTTTATCATACCAGAATGTGATGAATATAAACCATAATGTGATTAATATAGGATTATCCCTATTACTATTACTATATAAAAAATATTAATATGAAACTAATTTACATTAAATCCACTATGGAACCAAAGAATTACAGCACCATTAGAAGCATCCTAAAGAAAGCTCAAGGAGAGAAAATTGCTCCCTATGTTTTTAAAATCAATAATACCCAAACTCTCCAGGAATATCTAGATCAAGAAAAAATCACTTATGAAATTTAAATTACTTCCTTAATTTCAATCAAGGTCATCTCTTACTTCAATTTGAGCAATGTGTTGGGTTTGTTGTTTTCTTACTCATTTTCAAGTCTTTGAATTTTATCTAATAATTCCTGTTTCTGCTTATTATGCCAATCCTTTGAAACTTCCAAAGCTTCCAAATGAGAACCAATTTCCTCCTTGGCAACAGCTAATTGCTGTTTCAAGTCTTTATTTTGCTGTTCTAATCTACCTAC